GAAAACATTTTTTCTGGATTTCAAAGAGTGAGAAATAGAAGAGAGATAAGGGGGATTATGGGAGGTAAGAAAGAAGATTCTGTATGCGTACGCGTGTGGATTTTTTTTTTTTTTTTTTGGTCTGATTGAATTTTCTATTTTCGTTGTAAGGGTATAATGAGCTTAATAGAAAAGTAGAAAAGTAAAAATCTTATCATTAAATGTCTAGAAAACTTAATAACATACCTTATTAAATATCTCTTTATTTTCTCTGTTAATAGTTCATTAATATGTGCTCTTAGAACACCATAAATTTATTAATTTATATAGAAAAAAAATAGAAGTTAATTTTAATTTTATTAATTATTTAATTAAATTATTTTATGTGATATTACTGTTAAAAATAAATTTTATTTTCTTAATTTTCTGTACTAATTAATAGTAAAAAATTAAATAAATGAACTCTTAATATATATCAGTAAAGTAGAATTTAGAAAAACTCTTATTTTATTAATGGAATTTTCAAATTTTGTGTTGCAAAAGTATAAGTTAAGTGGTATTAATTGCACTTTTTTCATTACTTGTATGAAAAAAAAATTTATTTTCAACACTACATGCCTGTTTTAATTAGAAGACTTATAAAATTAAAATTAATTCTTTTCATAATAATTAACAAAGTAAGGAACAAGTTCAAAATTTTTTTACTAATTAGATAGTTTAGTTAAATTTAAACAGCGATTTAAGAGGATTATTAAAGCAAAATGTATTATCAATTAAAATACTCCTCTATCTCATAATAATTGTCGTTTTTTACTCTTTCTCTAAATTAATGATTTGAAGACGATTTATATATTTATTTATATTACGCTTAAGAAGAAATAAGAAGATAAAAGACCTATTTGGAATAACGGTTAAAATTTGGAGGGTAGTGGATATCAAGTAGCGAATAATGGATAACGAATAGCGAAAAGTGAATAATAAATAATAAATAATAGATTCAATTAATATAATTATTTGATTATACAATAGTTAACTATTATTGTTTGAAATTAAAAGAGTAACAAGGACATATATAAAAATAATTAAGTGTATGTTTTTCTTTTTTTATTTTTATTATTAAAATTATTAATTTTATAAAAAATAAAAAAAAATTATAATAGTGTAATCCTACACTAATTTTTATTTTTAATAAAGAAAAAATTATATTTGTTTTAAATAAAAAAATAAAAAATTTTAATATTTTCATCTAATTAGTAAATTTTATTTATTAAGTTAATATATTTTTTATAATAAATTAATGTAAAAAATATATAATAATTATTTAATATTATTAAAGACAAAAAAATAAAATCAAAACTAATTAGATAAATACTAATTAAAAACTATAGAAAAAAACTAAAAAATTAAACATGATAAATTTGTCAATAAAATTAAAAAATTACAATTTGTTAGTAGTTTGATACAAAAAATTACTTTAAGTAACTTTTTTAATTTGTTAACGGTTTGATCACTAACCGCTATCCATTAATCTTAAACCATTAAATAAAAAGTTTTATCAAACACGTAGTTAAATAAAAAGTTTTACCAAACATCTAGTTTGTAACAATTTTAAGTAAATAAGTTTACCAAACACCTCTTTTTAGTGGTTTAGACAAAATTGCTAATTGTTACTTTTAAACTATTATACCAAACAAATCCAAAATAAGACTTTTTGTGATAAGATAATTTATCAAAATAAATCAATGATAGGGTTAAAGTAGGAAAAAAATATTTGTTTACTTTAAAAAATAAAAAAATTAATTTGAGACAAACTTAAAATAAAAAAATGATAATTATTTTAAAATAAAAAAATAAAAATGCCATTGTTTTAATAAAAATATGTCATATTTATTGTATAATATTAATTAATTGATTAAAAAATATATTATCATTTAAAATAAATGAGGTAGAGGCAGGAAAGAAACTTGTAAAGATAATGCCACGCAAACCGTTCAACAGACGGCGTCATGAAGATTTGTTAGTAAAGGGGCTAATTTGCTTTGATCATGGGATTTGAGGGTTTATTTATTCCTTTTTTTAGTTTGAGGGCTGGTCACTTATTTTTGAAAAAGTTCGGGGACTTAAGAAGAGGTTTTGCCTAAAAAATAAGGAGAAACGAGAAGAATAACCCTTACTCAACCGCTTAACTTGTTCTCTTAATGGTTTTTGGATTTACACCCTTCAACTTTCCCAATTTTATTTTTAAGGCCCATAGTTAAAGTTTGGAGTCATGTGAGGACGTGTCTGTGAATTCTCCATTAAGGCCTTAACGTTTTTGCAAGCTCTATCTAATGTGGTGCAATTGATGTCAAAATCAAGATAGAAAATACCTATTTGGCCTAGTAGAAAGGGAGATTCACACCTTAATAATCATATGCTCCGTGTTAAATGGAGGGTATTAGGTGAAGTATTAAGAAAAAGGGATCTTAAAGGCCAATACTTCAATTCAGACAATGTTTTGAATACTAGACCAAAATGATTAGTTCAATTAGGAAGTACTAAGGTTTTAGTCAAAAAATAAAGTCACATAACTAGAATAACTAGAATGAGGATGGAAATCAATCAACGTAGTCACTAATCAAACGTGATCAAAGCCAGCTAAAAGTTAGTTAAATAAAATTAGATTAAGATTATAAATTTTAATATATATTTTCAACTTTTTAAATATCTTTAATTTATTCGACATGTTATTATCCATTAAATCGGTAATTTAACCCACTGAACCAATTAAATTAGAAATTTGTAACATCAGTTGTTCAACTTCGATAAAGTTAACAAACATTGATCACGCAAGACTCCAAACATTAACTATGGCCTTTTCAAGTTTCATGTACCATCTCGCAAGGGTAACTACCATTGCAAACACATTAACAATTATGTGAAGTAAATTGTTTTAGTTGTGTATGTTTATATATGATTTTACAATTAAAAATTATATTATATATTTAAATTAAAAAAAATTGATGTATAAATATTAACTAATAGTATTAACTTTTATTTTTCCTTGTCTAACATAAGATAACATTTGGGATTGAGGCGATGAAAATTGGATTTAAGAATGAAAATTTTGTTATATTTAATTAGTTTGGGAGTTAAGATCATCTTATCCCACTATTTACAATAGTCAATAATTCACTATATAGTTTCTATTTTTCAAATCAACTATTAAATTTAATATTGCATTCGTGTAGATCATACATGTTAAGTTTAAATTAATTAGATGTTTTTAACTATTGTATAATTGCACTTAATTTCATACCAATAAGTAAATAATAGAAAAACAGTTTTTTGTTTGTACAATTACAAAATCAAAGCATCTTGAAATTTGAAATATATAATTTATAAATAAAACATTAAATCCAACTGTTAGTTTGGTTAAATACAAATTGTACAAAAAATTATTGAAAATTGTAAATTTAAAGAATTAGAAAATCAATCCCACTTAATTCCTTGAAAAAGAACCAGTAACATTACTTTTAAGGCTCAAATTAAATGGAATAAACTCTTTGGGCCTCTTTAGGGCTCTTGCAATGTTCCAAAACCTAACTCTTCCTAAAATTTAAAGAGTAATTGCAAAAAGATAAAATAAAATAATGTATAATTATTTGACATTAGAATAATCAAATTTATTTGATTTATAAATTTAGGTAATTTTATGATTAACAAATGACAAAATTTTAAATTAAATTACTTATAAGTAATAATGTTGTTACAAATATTATATTAGCTGACGATGATTAATAAGTCGCACAACGTGCGATTTGAACCTTGTAATGATTTAAATTACATGGGCACAAATTAATCCTAACTCTTAGTTTGGGCCTTAAATTAAATTTTACCGACATAAATGCCCATAAATAACAATCATAAAAGCCTTAAGCTAACCATCTGGGCTGACCCGAAATTTGAGCCTATTATCCCGGCTGACCCAAAAATTCAACCCATTAATAAGTTACTTCACCCCGACTATCCTAATTCGTGACCAATTTAAGGCTGGCAAATTTGCCCCTCACCTTGACAAGATTAAAAGTTTTAATCTTTTATCTTATACTATAATATTTTTAATCCTTCATCTTATTAGATTTATAAGTTTTAACATCTCACCTTATATTATAATACTTTTATTTCATTATTTATTAAAATTGAAGAAAATAATCCTCACTTTGTAACATTTTATTAGTTCTGTTAGCTGACTGTTAATTCTGTTAGCTGACTGTTAGTTGATCGTTAACTATCAAAAACTTTCTTTCAGCTAATAGAATTAATAGAACCAACTTTATAATATTTTGTTAATTCTATTAATTATCTATTAATTGACTGTTAGTTGATAAAAATCTACTTTTAGTTAATAGAATTAACAGTTAGTATAAAGTGAGGGCTATTTTCATCGATTTTAATAAGTGAGGGGCTAAAACTTACAAATTTAGTAAGGTGAGAGGCTAAAAACGTCATAATATATAAAATAAGAGACTAAAATCTTCAAAATTGATAAAGTAAGGAGTTAAAAATAAGTTTTTACCAACAAACAAGTGGATTGGAGTAGGTTATGGTTGAGTTGAAACGGCTCATAGGTCAAACAGGTTGGGCCAAAAAAGAGTCACAGGTAAAAGAAGATTAACCCTAACCTACTCATTATCGATCATGGACCAATTCACAAGTTGATAAAAATTGAATTTTTTTTCTCTTTTTCTTTGTAATTATCTAGAATAAATAGCCTATTCAGGTGATATATTAATAGAAACCATTAACATTTCATTTATTTTACACTTCATAAAAGATCATTTACATTGTAATAATGACGATTTCAATTAGTTATCCACCGAGGTATACATAGAAAAGAGCAAACAATTAGGTGTCATTACTTTTATCAAAAAAAAAAAAAAAGAGGCATCATTACACGAAAAAGCAAGTTATTGAGCAAAACATTCAACAAATTGATGCACTTGTCAATTAGTAGGTTTTAAAATTTGAAATGAACAAATTTAAATTGTAGAACTTAGAAATATACTTCTCAAACAACAATGTCCATGGTTACTACAGTTTTTGAGTTTAGAAAGAGCTGCTGCCTAGAAGAATAAAAGTCCATAATTGCTGCAAAAATTTCAGGCCCAGAAGAAAAGGAAATGTGGATTATATATGCAATATTAGCAGAATTATTACGCCGTTTCAAACACATTACAACCCAATCAGGATTTAAAATAGAAAAAGTAGAATTGAAGAAGTGAAGAGAAGGTTGAAAAATACTGAAAAGAAAAGCATAAACTTCTCACCTCACCAGTAGAGATAATATGAGAAAAGTAGAGAGAACAGAACTGTCGGAGAGTTGATTGGGGCACGTCGGACTCGGAGCAAAGGGAGAAGAAATGAGAGGCTAGAATGATGGTTCGATGGACTGACGGTGGAATGGATTTTGTATGATCGGAGGCAATTAGAGGAAGGAAAGGTCGCGGGCTCGTGGATGTGGCTGACTAGTGACTAAGGTGAGTTATGGCGGCAGAGAAATTAAGGAATGAAGTCTGGAAGAGGAAGAGTGAAGAATGGGAAATAAAACATAATAATATAAATAAATAATATAATAAAACTTACCAAATTAAAGAGATAGGCAAATGGGTTAGCCTATTAACCTCTCAGATTAGTTCGTTATTGATTCATAATTTGTTGGGTTCTATTAACAAGTTATTAACGAAACTCAAAAATATATCAATTTAACCCATTTTAAATAATAGGTAATAGGTGGTTTAACAGTTTTGGTAAAAAATTTGTGAAATGTAGTAACCACCAATTGATTCAATTTAATAGAAAAAACAAAACAATTCATTCTTCTTTTTTTTTTTTTTGTTATTTTTTGTTCGTTTAATTTTGTAAATAAATAAAATAATTGAGAAAGTATGGCTATAGTTATAGCTATACAAATTTGTCTTTAATTGTTCTCACATGATTTATAGTGTGGCTACCTAGGAAATAGGGATGCCCCCTAAGCTTTTAAAAAATAAAAACTTTGATCCTTTAAGTTATATTTTTATTATTTCAATCCTTGTTTATTTTATACATTTAAATTATTTTTAACCTTATTTTTTCAAAGATTAGTTTTAGTGATTATGAGAAAAAAGAGGAAAATAAAGGTAAATAAAATATGATAAAATATAAAGACTAATTGAATATAACACTGTTCAATATTATCCTTCTATGAAATAGTTGTTTCTTAATAACTTTTGTTTTTATTAATATCCTTCTATTTTTGTTTTTTGCGTATTATATTCTTCTATTTAATATATGTTTATTTTATATTTCAATTGATGTCATATATATAATACCATATCATCAATTAATGTTAGTTTATTGATAAAGACTAACAAATCTTAACTTAAAATAATTTTTTTATTAAAATTTTTGTTTACATTGATCTTTTAATTAATGCAAAGATGCTTGTCTTTTTCTTACCAAAAATTCAGTTGGCCCACACTAAAATTGGCTACACCACTACTTTAACCTACCTTACTTATATATTATGCGACTTAAATTTAAAATCTTTTATTTCCAGTGAAAAAATATTATTATTAAATTAATTAGATAATAAGCTAATTTAAAAATATGTTTTTGTTTTTTTAATATGAATTTATTAAAATGACATAATTTAAAATTTTTTCTTAATTTTTTAAAGATTGAAGCTCATAAACACTCTACTCCTTTTTATATAAAAATTTATTAAAATAATATAATTTTAAAATATTTTTTTCTCTTAATTTTTAAAAGTCTAGTTAATAAACACTTTTCTACACTATGTATAAGTTCCGACCCTATAGAATCCCAATTTAGAAACACCAACACTATCCTCTAATAAATATTTTGAAAAACCTAACATTAAATAAAATATTTATGTAAATTATGCATCCCAATTTTCAGCCATACTATTAACCCCAAGCTACAAATTTATAATTAATAGGTGCCTAACATTTTCACGGGTTAAGGCATGTGTTTAACTCTTTACTTTATTGAGTTTGAAACTTTTAACTCCTCATTTTATATTATCAACTTTTTAGTCCTTAAACTTAAATATTTGAAAATTTTAACTCCTAAACTAACGGAATCTATTAACTTACCATTAAAGTGAAAATAAATTATTTATAAGATTAGTCCTTAAAGATTAAAAATGTAAAATTTAGTTCTTAAAAGTTTAAAAATTAAAAAAGTCAATAAACTAAAAGGAATTAATAGATGAATTTCTCACATACACTACAATAATATTAAATATTTATAATAAATTAAGTGATTAGTTCAATTTGAAAAAAGAATGAGTGAGGTTAAAGAAATTTTTTTAACTAAGTTAAGACAAAAAATTGAAGAAACTAAAAGAATACAATCAAAAAATTTTCTTTGATTTCAATCAAATTCTTTCTTTAGATTGAGTTAATAATTCAATTTGATTATAAATATTTAATATTGTCTATTTTTGTGTATATAACAAAGTTATCTATTAATTATTTTTAATTTATTAATTTTTTTTAATTTTTAAATTTTAAAACTAAATTATTATATATTTAAATCTTTATGAACTAATTATGTAAACATTTTACGCTCATTTTAATAGAGTTAATGGATTTTGTTAGTATAAGGATTAAAATTTCAATGTACATTAAAGGGTTAAAAACTTCAAATTTATTAAGGTAAAGAACTGAATGCATATTTTAACCCATTTTTAGATATCCTTTTTCTAGCTTCTATCGGGTTAAACTTAACAACCTTTCAACAATAAATCTCTAAGACACTAATTTACTCCACAGACGTGCTTCTCAAGATTCAGCGTTCTCATTTCACTACCCAAAATAAATCAGAGTGATTCACGATGCAAAATGACTTCATAAACATGTTACTCAAGTGAAAAAAGTGAAATCCAGAAGAATAAACTGGATTTGTCTTCAATCTCAAAAACTGGCAGGACGACCATCTGCCATGGTTATAGTATTAGTACTGGCAACCCTCTTCGTTTCTCGTAGAGAATCGCTATTGAGGCACATGTGCCTTGGATACAATCTCTTCTTGCTTCTAGCGCCACACACCTAAGTAAAGCACCTGAATTAACAATAAAGAACCCCCTAACTGTTCAATTACTACTAGCCTATTGGATAACAAATCCCCAAAGCAAAGCACACGCTGGCATCCAAGTCTGGAACTTGAGTTAAATACAGTCTCTAGCAACACAGCATAGAGCACAGTAAAGTCATCATAGAGTGTTATAATCAGAATTTCTGGAAAAGATACTGAAAGAGAGAAATCTCAAAGCAGGAATCATACAACCGGACCACACACAACTACAGTAGATGAATAAGAAAATAATTAGCAGTACACTCTATTAGTTGAAAATATCTCATTGCAGAATCTTGTTTGGTTGCCATCTTCCAATTCCAAACCGGAATTGGTTGGGATATAATTGTTGACAGACTACCCCAAATCTACAAGATTAAAATGGAAAAGTACAGAGGAAACATAATATAACCGAATCTCACTCCTTAATCTTCAACACACTTGAAATGCATATAAAAAATGAGCAAAACATTTCCAAAAGATGTATCGTGTACTACCACTAACAAGAAGACTATGACTACTGGTGGAATGGGGGAGGAGACAAGCAGGAAGTTAGACCTTGGCTTAACAAAACTGATATCAGTACAAGCACTAACAAAACTGCTCTTTTAATAATAATGGTGGAAGTGATACTTGGATGTTATGGTGGTGCAATAGTGTCAAGTATAGTCATGGTCGCACTTGTAGTCACAATTCAACTTTTGGCAATTCATTTTAAGTAAATTGCTGTATTGATGATTCCTTAGTTACCAATCATTACCTCAATACAACACAAAGAACACTCTTGATCTCTCTCTCGTTCTCCGGGCAATGAGCAACAAATCACCGGTGAAGTTACCCAACCAATTAGTAGTTGTTTCAGTTGCGAACTTTGCAAAAATAAATGACTAAAACTCAGACGGTAGCAAAGGTGTTCCATTCAAAACCACATGTACCTTCAAGTTCGAACCCAGAGGGACTTCAAAGATAAAAGTTTCTCATTTCGTGTAAGGGCAGCTGCAGTTCCTGGAGGAGCATGAACGGTAATTGGGAGAACCCACTCAGTTCTGTCTCTACCCTCAATTAGAAGAGGATGCTCATATCTGAATTTGGAAAATCAAAAAGGTTTTAGCACACCATTAATAAATTAGGAATTTGGAAAAATATGTTTAATTTTAGTGAAACATCTTTATTTATGCAATACAATTGGCATTTTTTTCTTGCTATACAATCAGTAGCAATATTGTAAAAAAATACTAACTATTTTCATAATCATACATAACAAATATTAACAATAATATCTAATATTTTAATTTAATAATTAACATATTCAGAAAATAAAAGAATCATTATAACTATGAAACAGCTTAGACATAAAATACTGAAAATATATTTACAAGCAAACACAACAGCTGCTGCACAGAACTTTGGGGCTAGGGGAGCAAGAAGCATCAATTGGTAAAGTGGATCTATTAAGCTCTGATTTTTAAACCATTCTGAATTCTAGATTTTGTTAAGTGGGAAAATCCCACATTGGTGGATTAAAGGGAGACCTGGGATTTAATACACTGTGGACTACACCTATGCCAATTGGTTTTGGATGTTTACAAATTCCTTCTCTAAGGAATAGATTAATTTATACTAGTTATAAATTAAAATGTAAATAATAACGAAAAGCAATATGTTGAATAATTAATTAAAATTCAAAGAAGCCAATAGTATGCATATAATTAAATAATATATTATTCACATAATCATTAACTAACTAGTATATAAGCTGTTTGGTGACCTGCAATAAAATATTTCTCATAGTGATATTACTATTACATCATTACAATTAGAGATAGGATCCTATTACAAACAAGTCTTATACAAAATTATAACCATTCATTCTCCACTATGAATGGCTTAGATTCATCATGACTTTTTAGATGAAAAGACATTTAACTTTTTTAAAAACTAGGGTAAAAGAGAATAAATTTTAGCAATTCATAGTGGAGAGAAGAACAATCAGTATTTTGTGTAGGAATATGTATAAGACTTGTGTGTAAGTTGATCTCAACTCTCATAGTTAATATTTAATATTATGCTTGTCTAAGAATGATGGCAAAATATCCCAAAAGTTTGTAAGATTGCCAATTCATGGCACAAACTCACATTACAAAGCTCCTCCATTATAATCACATTGCTACATAATGTGGTAATGTGATATTCACGCTAATGCCATAGTGCCAGCCATTTAACAGCAGAACACAAACCAATTGTGGCACATGAGAACAAAAAAAAAAAGGAGGAAAAAAAGGGACAGCAAATCAGACACTACCATGCCAAATGACAAGAACCAATGCTCTCTAATGATCAACAGAAGTGACTGCAGCATATTGTCTGATCAACTATGATAATGCCATACCTTGTCCAATCCACATTTTTTGGAGTTGTAAAAAATTCAAATCGCAGAGCCCATTGAACAGATACATGGGGAGTGGAAAAAGACATGGGACCATCCATAGGAATGGAGAAGAGGAAGCTTGTTTGCACCACATCCGCTACTATCTCATGATGATCACTCTGAACCTAAAAGAATAGTCCAACCAACATGCAACAAATTATACTTATTGAAACACCAAAATCCCAAAAAGAACTTTTCTCTCCCTCCCTCACTCCCTCCTCTGAACACTGTTTTGTGTCATGCAAGGCAGCTATATCAAAATTAATAAATAAAACACATGAACACAAATATGAAGATTAAAGCATTTAAATATTCTCTAAAAACACAGACAACTTGTACTCGTGCACTATTTGCATTATACAATAACAAGATAGCTATCTAAGTTCTCAGAAGGAAAATAAAATAATTGAAATATGAGACTAAAAGCATATGGGGAACCATTGAATCGAATATATATACACAAACAGAAAAGTGAAACACCTAGCTATACAATAATTGCAAATTTGCAGAACTACCAGTTTGAGATTTATTATCTACACTCTAGATCATTTATATGAAGTTACTCAAATTATATGACGACAATTGAGATAACAATAATACATAATTATTGGAAAAAATAGCTTCTTCATCCTTCCAGACTTTGCAATAATAAAAAGAACCCCTCATGTCCTCTCATCCACTGTTCCCTGCCATCTAACAGCATGCAATCTTAACCCAACTATTTAACAAGCTACTTAGAAATGGAAGAATTCCTTCACGCCAGAATAGAGAGATGTACACACACACATGAGCAAAAATAGTTACTAAGGTCACGGATTTCAACATGTATTAATCATGTAATTAGGCTCAAATCCTCAAATTAAGTAATACTCTAGTTCATCAGCCCTCAACGCAAGGGAACCATTAACCAACTGCAACTGTATAAATAATCAAGAGGCAGACCTTTGTTATGGTTGGAGAGTTCTTCCTAGAAGGATGAGCAAAATGCCGACTTATAGTCTCTGAAGTTTCCAATGTGATTAAAACCTGCAAGAAACCAACTCTTTTGGCCACTTTCAAGAGACATAATCCAAACATTTCATAAGCTGTTCTTTGATTGATAATTACTCTATTATTTATGCATATGCAGTTACCTCAAGGCATCTCCTAGCCCCTTCTTCATGAAAGAAAGTAAGAGTACCCCCAATCTGTTAAGGAAGCAGATAAATAAATGAAACTAAAGCCAGGATGAAAAACATGGTTGTTGTTTAATTACCATATCACTGAAATAATAAGTGGAATCAGAGTTCTTAGGGGAAAATCTTAGCAGAACTTGGTCATCCATCCGGATATTATAAGACCTTCCTCGAATAAAGCCTTCTACTGCAGAAAATGTTTGCAAAAAATAAGTTTACCAATATTTACATCTTAAACAGTTCAAAATTAGATCCATCTGAGAAATGTTTTGAACAAAAATGGGAGTATAATAATTTACATGCTATTTCTGTTAATCCAGCCATATCATCAGCAGCCAGGGTTTTTGTAGGAGTCCAATGCTGACTTGGAGATATAATGGCTGATGACAATAAACCAATTTCAAAGATTATCTTGAAATTAGAATTTATGTTAACTTGATGAAAGCAGGAAGCATTACATGAACAGGCATTGTAAAGGAAATGCAAACCAAATCAACAGAAAAACCAACAGATTTGTCATGTATTAGAGAGAAAACGAGAGAAGACAACCTAAGTAAATATGTTTATCAGTACAGAATATGGTATAGCTTATTACCGGCACTAGAATCAAGCGAATCCTCAGCCACAGACAATCGAGGAAGTCCCACATTTGAAGATAAACATGTCTGTTCCCCTTCATAATGCAGGACATCCCTATTTGATGACCTAGCAGTGGATGATTGCAAGGATAACGAACTTCCAAAAGTTTTATGTATATTTTCTTTAGCAGGATTATAAGAAGAAACAGATGAGATTTCATCCCTTGAGCTCTCATACCCTTCCTCTAACCCATCACATGCATCATTTACTCTAACCTGTTAAAAAATTCACATATGAAATCATCCAATTTCAAACAGTATATGAAGGCATGAACAGAATTATTAAAAGCTGACCCATTCAGAGTCTCCATCTGTCTCTTTCCAATACATATCTGTTTGTATGGTAGTAGCAGGGACAATGCCTGAAATTTTTCAAAAAGAGAATGAAAAACAATTCAGCAAGACATTCTTCTGGTTTGTTTGGAGATCAATTAGCTATAATTTAAATCACATCACAAAATCAGAATTCATGAACATTGAAAAATCATAACCACTACCCATAACATTGGAATTATGGTTTCATCTGTTCCACACTGTTTAAGGCTTCTTCTCTACACAATGGAAAATATCTATTAACTCAGCTAGCTTTATCTTCTGGTTCTTATCAACTAAGCTCTATGAAAGGAAGAAAAAGCAGAAGACATCATCATATGTGGGAACCATCAAAATAAATCCACCTTTGCTTAAAACTTATAGCAACTTAATCTCCTTTATATTCGTTCAGTTTCAGTTATAAAACTAATATGCATCCAAAAGTTTATTAGGTTGCTGATTTTTCTATTAAGAACCTACCTTTCCTTTACTTTTCCTAAATGAATGTGAAAAGTAGCAATAAAAGTGATCCTGCAAATTGAATTAATAATAATAACTTACCATCACCCTGACCTTCTGTTTGTAAGCCATTTCTCTTCTGAGTAACCCATACTTGCAAAGGAACTCGAGCCTCCTGTAAAAATTTGACAATTCATGAATATGTATAATATTCTTCATCCAAAGGGCACAGGTGTAAATGAGCAAGTGCACCCGATGAATTCAAATGTTTAGTAATACTAGCTATTATATATATACACAGCCAATAGCAAAAACAATAGGAAATTTCCTTCACTATTCAATATTTGTTCAGAAAGTGACTTGTATGTATATACTGGCATAACAAGAATCATACAATAAAGGGATAAAAATCTACAATACGGGGTTGAAGGCCATTCTAATTTTTTTTGTATGCTAGAAAGCTTCATCAATGATCACTGTTTTTTCTTCCATCATCAAGGTGAAAAAGACAACTGAAAAAAACGACATGAAACATTATATACTACATAGAACTGACACCAGGGGCAGAGCCGCATAGGATGCTTCACAGGTCAAAGAGGCTAAGACAGACCAACAGAGACTTCAATCATCCCAGTGGCAAACCTCTCAAGTCTCAAACAGTTAAAAATAACACAGAGACAAAAGAGAACCTAGAAAGCAAGCCCCTCCCCAATCAGCAAATCCAAACATAATCCTCCTCTTCCCACTGATCCTCTAGAAATTCATTGAATGCTTTGAGAGTTGGATCAATCCTCTAGAGATGTGTACATGGCACACAGACTTAATTGACCAGTGTAGACCCATAATCCATAAAATGATGCCTTTGGCCTTTGAACCCTGAACTACAGTCCAAACTCCTCTAAGATAAATCAGAGATCTGTGGCCTCACCAGTGTAACAGATACTGATGAACTTGCATGAATCAATTTTTATTTCCTACAGAAAATTAAATGCCTCAATTTAGACAGAATGCAATGTATCACGTACCATACACTGATACACAATGTGTAAACCAAAACAAGGAAAAAGAATTGGCTGGGACAAGCATTCTACATGGGAAAAGTGCAGCATTACCATCTGAGGAGTTGGATGTTACAATGGATAGGAGTCACGACTATGCTTTTGACAATGTAAAATTAAACTAAAAATAGTAATTTGCTAAAATTTAAACTAGATAACATCAGCTACAACAGAGTATGGAGTAACAGTCAGCCCATTGGCCAAATGAATAATCCATTCTTCCCAGATGTAAGAGGGATCTCCAAGTACACTCAATTTTATTAGGAGAGTCAAACATGTGAATTCCTAAAGATTACAAGTGAGACTCCTTTCTGCAACCTTAGAAGCAAGTAAAGACAAAAAAAAAAAAAAATGTAAACCACCAACCACTTCAATAAGATCTTTTATTGAATTGCTTGTAGAGTGACCATTTTGCAATACCAGCCACCGACCAGATACTGTAGCCTTAATGTAATACAGATAACGAATGGTTGCACCCTTGTAAGACGGAGGTATAATACTTGGCAGCACAGAGCGTATCACATCTGCAAATAAGGCTGAAGTCAGTATCATATAGGACAAGTATTTTTAAACAAAGTGGTAACCAGCAATACAGCATTTTCACTGAGTTGAACCTGAGGTACAGAAATCATAAAATTAAACACATCACTAGTCTCTTTGTTAACTTTTTCAAAAAGGATGGATGTTAACAGAACCAACTACACCAACGGAATAATCAGCTTCCTTCACCTTAAAATATTAAGATACTGAGACATGATTCAAAGTTACAATCTAAGGAGGGGGAAGAGAAGACTAACAATTTTTTGTTGCACCAGAAGACACGATCTGGTTTGAAACTATTGATGGTGCTGAGCAGTCCAAGAAAACATGTTCCCCTGAAGTGATAGACCAAAGACTCAGACAGTAACTGAATGAACTAAAATGTTTATTAATTCTACAAAAACACAGTTCCAACCTCTCTTTTGTTTTGTCTCAGGCAAAGGTTTTTGGGTAGCAAACCATTGAGTATCCAACTTCTCTATCCCTTTAATTTCAATGCCAAGCCTTTCAATTAAAAGCGAAGGGGCAGTAACACCAGGGGAACCAGTAGTTAGGGGATTGCAGATCTCAATTGTAACAAGAATGGAATCACCAGATCTATACACATCTTTATCAGTTTGCAATTTTAGGAATGAAGTCACATCACTTTTACGGCCTTCTACAGAACTATCACCTCTATTTGATCCCCCACCTCCAAAGAAGGAAAGTCTAGATGGCAACATGGCCTTTTCCTTCTAACAATTTGTGTTTATATTTTGGGGTTAATATTTGCCTGAGAGTTATCAAGCAAACATCAACTAGTCCAATAATGAAGAAACTAATAGATTTAACCTGCAAAGTTCATAGCAAAAATGAAATCAGAAATTGTATCAAGTATAATTAATTAACTGAAACATGTTGACATGGCCAGTGTTTATGCGTCTCCATTAGCAGGGTCATACCATTGCATTCTCGGAGACAGAACGGTTATATATATCAAATCTAGATAATAGAGCATATCCACAAACCAGAGAAAATCAAACTTTAAGGCCAAGTAAATTTCATATTCATGCTAACCCTTAATTTTTAGAAAAAATAATTACATGTCATGAAAATTGATTTTTCATCAATGCTAAAAATACTTTATAAACTCAATTTAAAACATTCTCTTCATCATTTCAAAAATTCAGAGAAGGGAAGTGCCATGTTACTTTCCTTGAATAACAAGCAAAGATTTCGAGCTAGGGTACCAAAAGGAATTTTAAGAACCTAATCAAAATAAGAACAGATAACTACATTATAATCATATCTAGCTAACTTCAGAATCTTGGAATTCATAATCATAAATCATTCACTTCAAGACTAAGGCCCTTAGGTCCAAATTCCTATTTAGCTTTCTTTAAAGCCCCAAATTACACAATCTGTCCAACACAACTTTCTTCTACTAGACAAAAGCGTGTCCACCCTCTATTTCATTCCATTCTTGTTTTCTTGAAGACTACAAATATTTCTACGCACCAACCTCATATAAAACATCCCATG